AAACAAACAAACAAACAAACAAACAAAAAAACGCATAACATGGATGAACTTGGAGGACATTATGCTGAGTGAAATAAGTCAATCACAGAAGGACAAATATTGTATTAATCTGTTATTGTAAAAGTCAAGGAAAAGTTTCTCTATGGAAGGAAAGTGTCTTTGTTGGTTACCAGTGGTGGGAGGGTAGTGGAGGGAACACTGTTGGATAGGTAGAGATAAGCATTGATTTGGGTGAAGAGAGGGGCAAAGTACCAAATGTGAGTGATCAACATGGTGGCACTGAGGAAGAAGAAGACAGAGAGAGGTACATGGGAGGTACAGACAACAAAAATGAACCCTTATGCACATACAGTACTGCATTGTCAGTAACAGCAAACATGGATATACAGGTGGGTAGATGGGTGGACAGGCTGAACTATTAGGTATGTCTACGAAGCAGGAAGTGTACCCAAGACCATGTATAGGGTTGGCAGACAATGGTCGTATAAGTGTATTTGTATGATCTGAATTTCCAGGTGTATAGTAGAACTGACAAGGAACAAGGTTGTAGTCACTTCTTGGTCACAGCCAGCTACCCAGAGGGACCATGTAGTTGAACTGGTGGGCTGAGGACCACAGTCGCAGGGGACATTAAGGTCAATTGGCATAACATACTACACAAAACATTGTTCCACCTCGTACTTGGTGAGTAGTGACTGGGATCTTAGAAGCTTGCAAGCAGCCATCTAGATGCAACGGTGGGTCTCTCCTCATCCAGAGCAAAGAACAATGAAGAAAACCAAAGATTCATGGAAACAATTAGTCCTAGCTACTGGTACACCATGTGATCCGCAGACTATATGACTGTGAGACCAGAAGAACTAGATGGTGCCTGGCTACCATTGTCACCCACTCAGAGGGGGATCTATGTAGGACATCCTGGATAGAGAGGGAGAACAATGTGGAACAAAACTCAAAATCATTTGGAAAAAAAAGAGGGGGGATCAGGTTTGCTGGTCTGATAGAGCCTGGTGGAAGCACTGAGACTATAGTCCCTATCTGCCGTTCACATCTGGAATTGAACCCATACCTGTGGCTTCCAGTCAAACAAAAGACAGGCATATGAGCTGAACCTTTACATTAGGTAGATACACTCCTTGGAGAGATCAATCATGGGAGAATAGGAGGGCTGTGTATGCACAGGGAGACAGCTTGGGGGGCAGAAGTGCATGGGGGGCAGAAGTGCATGGGCGGGAAGGACACATGGAAGAGGTATCTATGGGGAGGAAGTGGGAGGGGAGCTGTTGCATTGTGGGAGATTGCAGTCAATGTCGTGAGACAAAGTGTATGTGTAGTGCTGTATAGAAAATGAATTTGCTCTGTAAACTTTCACCCAAATCACAATAAAAATTAAAAAAAAAAAAAAAAATGCTGTGCTTCAAAGATACTAATGTAATGCATGACTTAGAGCTTAGTCACTTGGGTGGCCAGTAGCTATGGCTCTTGCTCACCTGGCCAGGAAGTGACTACACACACTTTTGAGACCATTTTCACAGGAGGGTGACTGCAGTGGATTGTGACAAAAGAAAACACCATAAAGGACTTTGGTTTAACTAAAATTTAAACTCCAAATAAAACTGGGATCGATTTTACAAGTTTTCATTATATCATTTAGGATTATTTTTTTATTTGAGTATAAAAGTTAGAATAAAACCAGTAATACATTTCAGCTTGCCCTCGGCTTCTCTGGTCCCATTTCCAAATTCCTAAAAGTTAGGAATTTGGTTTTTCAAAGTAGACTTTTAAGTAGAAATTTTAAGAAGGAATTAATTGCAGTAGATTGGAAAATACTCACAAGCAACCATTTCAATTCTCTTTTTACTATTTCATAGATATCTGTTCCTAATGAATTTGATGTCATGTTCAAACTGAACGTTGAGAGAATTCAGCTTGAAGAATATTGTAATAGTGGTGCTTTTTACTTTGTGAAGTTCAAAAGAAATCCCAAGGGAAATCCTCTCAGTCAGTTTTTAGAAGAGGAAATACTATCTGCTTCTAAAATGCTGACAAAGTTTAGGAAAATCATTAAGGAAGAAATTAAAAACATTGAAGGTAAGATTTTTTACTTTTGATTTTTCAGTGTCCAGTCATACCTACTAACTAACTACCAATGTACAGTCCTATATTGATCTTTCTTGACCTCCCTGCAGCAACCTCTTAACTCCTTCTAGAAACAACTCTTTTCTCTTGGCTTCTGTCCAGTACATTTTCTGGGGGCTCTTCCTAAATGTTGATTAGCTCTATTTCAGTCTTCATTTAATATTCATTGAACTACTGACTGCCAGCAAGTACGTATGTTTGAATGAAACAAGTGGGCTCCCCTCTTGAAGCTTGTGACCTACTAGAAGAAACGAAGAATAAATAACATACAATACATATTGCAGTGAGTGCTCTGAAGTTAATGAACTGGGAGAAGCAATATTGACTGGGAAGACAGAAATACCTTGCCAAGCTCAGGAAACAGAAAGAGGCCCATGTGGGCAAGGGGAAGAGTGACATGAGATGAAGTTGAAGAGGTGGCCAGGGGCCAGATTCCAAAAGGACTTGCAAATTCTGGGAAATATTTTAGATTTTATTCTGTGTGTATTATTAATAAGTCATTGACAGATTTTAATCAGAAAGTGGTGATTGACTTTGTGTTTTTAAAAGTTTAAGTGATAGATTATGGGTAGCTTAGATGAGGTGGAGTTGGCATGCTGGGGATGGACAGAAGCAAACTGATTCAAGCTATACTAGTCCTTGCTGCTAGATTAAGTGTAGGAAGTGAGGGAGAGGGTTAAATTAAAAATGGCTCCCACATCTCTGGCTTGAGCACTTGGGTGCATTGGTTGTGCCATTTTTTGAGGTAGGAAGGACTGAAAACCAAAAAACCAAACCCACTGTCATTGAGTTGATTCTGACTCATAGTGACACTACCGGACAGAGTACAACTACCCAACAGGGTCTCCAAGGCTGTCAATCTACAGAAGCAAAGCCCAAACCACACCCACTGTCGTGGAGTCGATTCTGACCCACAGCGCCCCTAGAGGACAGAGTACAACTACCCAAGTAGTTTTCCAAGGCTATAACTCTACAGAAGCAGATTGCCTCATCTTTCTCCCATGGAGTGGCTTCTGGGTTTGAATTGCCAACCTTTTGGTTAGCAGCCAAATGCTTTAACCACTGTGCACAAGAGCTCCTAGGAAAAACTGCGGAGAAACATAATTTGGGATAGGAATTAAGAGTTTGGCTTCAGATATGTTAGGGTAGAGATTCCTGTGCTATATCCAAGTGGATGTCAAATATGCAATTGGGTATGAGTTTGGAGTTCAGAAGATATGTTTGGGCTGCAGGTAAACATTTGGAAGTTATCAACATGTAGACAACATAGAGAACAGATGACCTTACCTAGGCAGAGTATAGGCTCATTTATTCATTAATTCAGTATGTATTTATTGATCATCTAATGTCCCAGGCACTATTCTGGATGTTTGGGATATGTTAATGAATATATGGGTAAAAACTTCCAATCTTCTGTAGCTTATAATCTTGCAAATGGAGACATGCAAATTAATAACCACTAGAAACCCTAGGGCACAGGGGCTTGTTCCTAGGGGAAGGAACAACTCAGAAAGGGAAGGTGGGAATGGCTGCAGAACTCAACAAATATAATCAGTGTCACTGAATTGTGCACGTAGAAAACAGTTGGAGTAGTGTATGTTTTGTTCAACAACAACAAAAATTATTAAAAAAATCTTGAGGAAAAAATAATGATCTTATGCATTAGAATATACTAAGAACTATGGGAGGAACACTGATGATACATTGGAAGCACTTACTCATCTATGCCAAGTAATTTGGAAAACAACTACTTGGCCAACTGACTGGAAGAGATCCATATTTTTCCCCATTCCAAAGAAAGATTATCTAACAGAACATGAGAATTATCAAACAATATCATTAATATCACACACAAGTAAAATTTTGCTGAAGATAATTCAAAAACAGTTGCAGCAGTATACTGACAGAGAACTTCCAGAAATGCAAGCTTGGATGCAAGAATGGCCAGACTTCGTCTCACCTACTTTGGTCATGTTGTCAGAAGGGAACATTCCCTAGAGAAGAATATCATGGGTGGTAAAGTGGAGGGTCAGCGAAAAAGGGGAAGGCCCTGAACGAGATGGATTAACACGGTAGCTGCAATGATGGGCTCAAGCCTAGCAAGACTGTGAGGATGGTGCAAGACTGTGAGGATGGTGCACGACTGGGCAGTGTTTTGTTCTGTTGTACCTGGGGTCACTATGAGTCAGAGCCAATTTGACAGAACCTAACAAAAATGACGCGGGGAAAAAAGTCTAACAATGTGAAAGGGATCCGGAGAGTTCTGGGGATGGGTGTTGTTGTTATGTGCCATCAAGTTGGACCTGACTCATAGTGACCCCTCCTTGGGTTTCCGAGGCAGTATCACTACGGAAGTAGATTTCCCAACCTTCCTTCCGAGGAGTGGCTGGTGGGTTTGAACTGCCAGCCTTCTGGTTAGCAGTCAAGTGCCTTAGGCACTATGCTACCAGAGCTCCCCTGGGGATGGCAGTGGGGGGACAAATTGCATTGTTAAATAGAGTAGTAAGATGATTCCATGAGAGGTTAGACTGGAGAGAAGAAGCAAAAGGAAGAATATGAGTGTTTTCCAAAAAAAAGGAATAGTCAGTGTTTAGGATGCTGCTGACAGGAAACCACTGGATTTGGTTTTTTGATTTTGTGGGGGTTAGTGACTGACAAGAGCACTTTCAGTGGGGTGATGGACCCAAAACACGGAAGAGCGAAAGGGTAGGGATGTAATGGAGACAGCCTCTGCAGGCAGCTCTTTAATGTTTTGGCTGTGTAGCACTAGTAGAAAAGTTCAACAAAACAGAAAATAACAAATGCCAGCAAGGATGCAGAGAGATTGGGACTCTCATATGCTGGTGGTGGGACTGTAAAATGATACAACTACTGTGGAAAGGAGTATGGCAATTCCTTACAAAGTTGGAATTAGAAATACCATTTGACCCAGCCATTCCATTACTAGGTATATATCCTAAAGAAGTGAGAGCCAGGACAAGAATAGATATACGCACACCTATATTCTTCGCAGTATTATTTACAATAACAAAGAGATGGAAACAACCTAGGTGTCCATCAACTGAAGAAGGGATAACCAAACTATGGTACATACGCACAATGGAATACTGTGCAACGCTAAAGAATAATGTAGAATCCGCAAAAGACCACATAACATGGAGGAACTTGGAGGACATTATGCTGAGTGACATAAGTCAATCACAGAAGGACAAATATTGTATTAGTTCATTATTGTAAAAGGTCAAGGAAAGGTTTATATATGGAAGGAAATTTTTTTTGTTGTTGTTATCAGAGGTGGGAGGGTAGGGGAGAAAACACTGTTAGACAGGTAAAAACAAGTATTGATTTGGATGAAGAGAAGGGCAATGTACCAAATGTGAGTGATCAACATGGTGGCATTGAGGAAGAGGAAGACATAAAGAGGTGCATGGGAGGTACATCAACAAAGATGAATCCTTTTGCACATACAGTACTGCGTTGTCAATGAAGACAAACATGGATAAGTGGGTGGATAGATGGATGGACAGTCTGAACTATTAGGTATGTCTATGCAGGGGGGAGTATGCCCAAGACCATGTATAGGGTTGGCAGAAAATGTGTCTACAAGTGTATTAGTATGTTCTGTAAGAATTCCCAGGTATAACCTTCTAAAAATTAAATTTTTATGTGCTTCCAAAGACTTCTCCAAAAGAGTCAAAAGAGAACCTACAGATTGGGAAAAAATATTTGGTAATAACATA